ACAGGATTTGCGTGACAGCGCTAAGGAACATTGACTAATGCAATATTTAAGGAGGCTTCCTCTCGAAACTGACAGGGGCGGGGGACAGTGGTAAATGGCAACGTCAGAGTCACTCGTAATTAGTCGATCTCGTCGCAGCCTAATGTAACGCTAGTCCAAGTGACTCCAATTTCTATTCAAAAGTTAGAAAACATCTTAAGTGTGATTGTTAGAGCCATTTAAATGCGTAAGACGCATTAACAAAAACCCATTTCCGGTTCAAATTTATGCCAAAATAAATGCAAATTTCAAATACGTTACAGAGTAAGAAAAATTGAACCTAACCTATTCATTTTTTTTCCCTAGCTTTGTATGCGAAACAAGCTGATCTGTGCATCAAAATGACATGCACAAAATAATTTATCCTAATTATTCCGCCTAGATATCCAAAACGGAGCCTATGTTTACAAATTAAAAACTAAAAATGCATAACGGCTTTTGTTTATTTTACCAGGTAGTAAGGATTTGAAATTAATTACTTTATTTGAATGAGCCTTTGGGGATACCATTTTAGCCTAGAACGTGTTTTAATCCACCAATTAGCGATCGATAACACAGTGCTTCCGGGTATGGAAGCTTGGATAAGCTTGCTGACTCTCGACAGTCAGACATCCTCTCAGGTCGTTGCTGAAGAGAATTTGCGTGAAATCTCTAAAGGTTTGAAAAGTTCGGATGTTCTTTCAAAGGATTCTTTTTCAATACTTGTGAACGCTCTGTCAGAGAAAGTAACGTGCTTCGAATCAAAACCTATTCCTCCTGATTTCTTCAATGTTTTTGGCTGTCTTTGTGAGCACTTAGCAAAACGTAAAGATTTACTTCCAGAAGATGTGCGGAGCTTCTTTGCGTCCTTCGTTGAGGTAATTTTGGGTTACATTCATGACTTATGCTTATTTAGTCCATTTTAAAAGTATCTCCCAAAGGTAAGTGCATGCCTCCTTTTTTTACTGTCTAGCCGTGGCGCCTGTCTTCAAACATATGCTTGGGGCATTTTATCCTAAAATTGTTGATTCAAATTGCAATGTTTACACTAAATACTCGGTATGTTAGCGTTGAAACCCACTGATACCTACAGATACTTGCCGGAATCAATGAAATATCAGTCCTTCCGTCAGCCACGAAGGTCGAACTTTTTCTCAAACCAAACATTCACGGAATATAGTGAGCTCTATTCTGGTTCTGCTTTATTTATTATCTCCTCAATGGGACATTTGGTCAACTTTCGATAGTTTTACGAATGTACCTTAACATTTATAAGTTGGAACTTTGCTTGCAAGTACAAAAGTTTCCCTCTTACTTTAGTTGGAAAGCTGGGTAGACCCTGGTCATTATTCTTTTAGGATGGTCTTCCTTCTGATTCATTTTTTTCTCCCACTTCCTCTTCCTCAATTTTACTTATTTTGTCTGTCCTGCTGATGTCATCTTCTTGGGTAATACGGGAATTTCTCTTCTTAAATTTCTTATGTCATTAGGGGTCGTGACTGTCTCATTTGTGGTGGTGACAAATTCCTGCGTTTAATTACATCTGTCTGCTTATGATGGAGTGATTACAATTCCCAACTTCTTCTTTCGGTAAATGCATCATCTTTTTCGTTAAACTACCCCATGTGGTACTTTTGTCCTGTCTTAATTTACTCTAGGTACGCAATTAATATGCAGGTTTTCAACTCCAAATGCTTTTCAGATTGAATGTCCTCTATTGCTTTAGCTTGTAGTCTTTGTAAAGATATTCACTTACTCGATGGCCTGCTCTTCGACAAGGCGTTCTACTTTAACTTTTATCAGGAACTTTTCTACCCAAATACTTTGTTCATCTTGTTTTCCTATTTGCACTCGTTTTTGGAACCTTATCATCACCAATGTCTTTTATATCTTTGTTTTGATGTAAACTTCTGCCTTGCATGTGTTGTTTGATATCTTGTCACGAGTTCGGTGTCCTGGAGCTCTGGGGTCCTTTCCCACACGCGTTTCACACTGTCACTACTTATTTACCGAATCAATTCTTTTGCATTGTTCCGATCTTCCTATTAATATCTCCTTTAATTCTTTTCTTACATTTTATCTAATGCCTTTAATTCCTGATTAGGATTCACGTTTTAGCTAAAGATAAGTCGGCAAGTTTTTTCCCTACAGGAGGTTAATTCTGTTACGCACCTACATGCCATAGAGGTTAACGCACCTGCATTGGAGCCTTAATCTATCTCATGTTTTTTTTTCATCATCCAACATCGGATTTATTTTCTCCTGAGAATTTGAGAGTAATTTTTCCCTTAGTTGCGTCAATAAGTTTGTCGTGTTTTCATTGATTCCACTATCTTTTCACTTCACTATCATGTATAACTTCAATGACATTTCTTTATTTTAATATTTCGACGCCCAAAAGTGGGCCATAACTCCCAAAGATGCTCTTAGTTTACTATGGTATTCGACTGTACGTCAAACCTCCTATGTTCCACGCCTTTGATCAAAACATTATGGCTGCAAAAAAATCTACCGTTTCTACTTCAGTACCTCGCTCGCTTCTAATATGCGTTCACTTGGGGACTATGATACGCAAACGCAACTGCTCGAATTCCTTCTTCACGTCATTCCAGCGGCGAGGAGGAAGGACTTCGTCGAGGAATACCTGCATCGGGGCCTTTCCGAACCCTTCTGTTTGATCATCGGTCAGCAATTTGAATTGGTGAGTACGGAAATGACTCGGTATCCAAATAACATCATGCTTACATAATTGATGAAGATCGGATTAGTTTTAGTGCTTATTTCTTCCTCTAGAGTAGTATGCCTGCAGATTGAACTTGTGAAAAGGTAAATGCGGTCCATTGGTCGTTTTACATTCTAAAGACATTAAAATCCAGAGATTACAATTCCTATTCCACCTGGATTTGGTTTAGACCATGCGGTAGTATCGGTGCAGAAGTATTATCCTTTATTTGGCATGTGCTTGACTTTATCACTGTTTTATTCGTTTCAAGCCATCAAATTTCTTTTGAAAGAGACAAATTGGCGTTATTCCGCACTTTCTTTATTACAGTGAGGCGATTTCTTATTTTTCATTAATGCCTTAGGCCGCTCGTCGCTTTTTGAATATGCTAAATCCAGTGGATCCGGTCACACAAACCGTCTTCTCTATTCCCTGCATAAGCGTTCGTCTTTGTGGTCACGAGGTGAGTCATTTGGACTTCCACCCTTTTCGGCATCAAATTTATTTTTTTGTGCTTGAATTTCCGTTCCCGCCTCTCCAGCTATTATTCCATCTGGCTGTTTTCTGCATTTATTGTCTGATTACTCCGCACAGTCAGCTTTCTTCAGCTTCAAGGCCTAATTTAAGTTGAGTCAATCCGGTGACAACTCTCTCAATGTTGTCATTCGTTACCCATTCATTCGCCTACATCTTGATTAGGGTTATTCATTATCTCATTGGCAGCCTTTTCTTGTCCCCTTCAGTTTTAATAGACACTATTAACTCACTCATTCATGCACCTGTGACCTTTTGTTGTGAATCTCGTCATTCAGTCTTGACTCATTGGCATACTAACTGTATAATGCCTCCTTTTTGTACGCCTATGTGTCCGACTATCTGCCTTTTTCAATTTAATTTTCTCTCTCTATTTATCCAAGCAACTGCCTGTCTCTCAATCCATCATTTTTTCCCTGACTGGTGTATCGTCCGCCTTTCGAGTACGGCATCTGACGTCCACTTATTCATTTTCTCATTCACATACTGAATCTTGTCCACTCTAGCGCCCAGTTTGATTTGAAATAAGGTGGTGATTTATGCTTTGGCGAATGCAGTTTCAATTAGTGTTTAAATTGTATTCGCTAAAAAGTCGGTTTTTTCCCATCGGTAAAGTCCCACTGACCGATCCGCAGGAATGGAAAATCTCCAGGATTAAAATTTACTGCCATTTCGCAAAACGTTAAGATCCTAGCAAAAATTCACTCTTTACTGTGAGCTGCTTTTGTTCGTAACCGTGACCGACTGGACGTCTGAAGCACTCTGTATTCCTCGCGCCGGTACATCCGCGTTCAAATTTCTCGTCCCACTCATGGATCCCAAATCAACGAGAAAGATTAAACAGTGGTTGAAGTAATGGAACGCTCCTCTAGCCTTAATATCCTTAACTCGGAGCTACCTTTACTGCAATACTGAGTGTCAAGAGCTTCCATTCTCGAGCATGCCTCCCTTGCACCTTATAAAAATCTTTTTATCACGAATACTAAACACAATGCCAGCTTTTATTCGTGGAATTCAAATGCTCAAACTGCCAGTTATGTCAGTATGTGATATAATCCTGCACATTTTGTGCCTCTTGTTGTGTTCCTTTACTTTTGCAGTGAATTGCCATATGGGCGGATGTCGTAAGTCAATTTGTGTCGCTCATCGGTACTGACAAGGTCGCTGAAATTTCTACTCAAATTTGTTGCCTTTTATCCTTTCAGCTTCAATGTCAACCGGCTTCGTCGAAATCGAAAGACGAACCCTCTTGGGTTGATTTTAATCTGGTGCCAGAGCGTATAACCACCTACTGCGTGATGTCAATGCGATCCGATTCAAGTTGTGATGTAGGCTACGTTTCTTTCACCTATTTTGATCCCATGGAAATTTTTTCTAACTAGACTTTTTTGGTATGCAGAGTGAGGAGGGTGAACAGACCTGGGAGACCATCTCACTTCATCCGGAGGTGATTGAGGAGGTGAACGTTAGTTGTAAGTTATAATTAGTCTCCCTTGCTTGCTGTAAGGAGGTAATTTCTTCATCTGTGTCATGAGAATTCTTGTGGGCAGCGTAAAAGGAACGGTTCTATTCAAAAATGACTTTTTGAGCTTTGTCATCCTATTTTGTCTCAAATCCGAATTGATCCTGCACGGTTCCGTGACGAGGAAGTCATGAGATACTAACTAAAAGTCGCTTTAATTTTTCTCCTATAGCCATGCGGCTGGAGAGCGTCGATGATGGCATCAGGGAACAAATTGTCCTCAGTATCTCCATCACCGAGCCGTCTTCCAATTTCGCACGGTTCTGGGAGGGAAGCAATGAATCCGACACCGCTGACGAGAAAAGCGTCATCGAGTTCTTCCTCAACCCCCCCGACGTTGTCAAAGCACTTCCTGGCGATGCAAGCGCAAATCACCACGGAAGTCATTCACAGCAGCAGCAACAGCTAATGGAACTATTGACGGGTTTGCGAGCCTATGCTGAGGTGAGTTATTTTGCCAATTCAAACTCCAATCCTTCTTTGTTTCCCTTCAACAGGAAGTACTTCCCTGAACCACTAACCAATCATGGTTATAAGGTCACTCATTTTCTTGGTTTCCCAATCACTTCTTCTCACTACAAATGGATTGTTTTTAAACCCCATTTGAAAATCAAAGGAATAGTCGATCTTTTGAAAATTCTTTTATTTGTCATGCCTTTTAACAGAAGATGTTTCCACAATCAAACATCACCTCGTCACAATCTTCCACCGATTGCCAACAGCAACACCCGGATGTGGACTCTGGGTCTAAAGTTATTTACGCTAGTTGCCGGTCGCCACTTTGTGTGGAAGTGGGTGAGAAAAATGCTCCGTCACCATTGCCACCGCCAAAATCCTTCTTCACCGATCCTGACGTCTCCTTTGAGGAGTCGGCGGAAGGTCTTGGCTTAAAGGGCATTGTGAGTACTGAACTTCACCTATTCTTGTAAATAATGATGATCAGGCGTTTCTCTGAAATAGTAACGAGTATTGATGTTGTGACAAGTGAAAATTGGTATATCTGTAACTCTTTTTCATCTCTAATCACAGTGCTTTGAATTCATTCTCCTTTCAACATCACAATTAATAGGCAGAAGAGGCAGAGAAGCTCACATAGTTTCCTTTGTTCCTTGAGGAGTCCTATCCAGTAGTCCTTTGCATACCCGAACATTGATTTCACGAAAGAATGGACAAACTCTCGACTTTACTCATTGTGTAACCCTTCTTCGGTTCCCCCGTCCCTTCTGTAGACGTCGGGCGAACGACCTCCGCGCCCTATACCGCTCTTCAGGTGTCAGACTGTCCGCACACCTCTTAGCCTTCGGGTCGGTCCAGACGGCAGCGTGGAGAGGCAAGGGCGATCCGCCACCACCATTCATGCTGCCGCACCGTCCAGTCGCCCCGTCAGTTCACCCTTTTCGGTCGCCAGTGGACTGGAAACGCCTTCACCCTGCAGGAGGTCCCTCGAAGCTCCGAATTTGGAAGGGATGGATACCAGCCTGTAAGTTAGACAATGACTGAAAAAGTGGAAAACCATTTGTCTTTTGAGTGATGCAATTTTTTAACCCAACTGTGGATACCACTCAAGATTTATCAGAATTGTAGAATTCTTTTCCCACTTCTTCACATTTGCTAAATACCTTCTTTTCTGCTTTTGTAGTGATGAAGATATTGCTAGCGAGTCCGCTAGAAGGGCTTCTGCTGTTGAATGCCAGCTGGAAGAAGTCGAAAAATCGTGAGTCGTTGGTGTTGAGACAATAGTCTTCGGTCCATTTCATTAGTGTACAGTTTAGTTAATGTGTAAGGGAAAGGAAACAGTGGCTGAGCTGTCGTGAGGCCTATGAGGTGCAAAGAGTAGTCCCCTTATCCGGTCTTTAGCGTTGGTAAAACCTTTGTAACGATCACCACAGCCTTGCTCAAGTGAATTCGTACCAACCACGAGACGCGACCTGACTCCATGCGAGTTTGGCGTTTGTAAGGCTTTTCAGGAATTTCAAAATTGTTTGTTTCCTACCTACCGTGTTTAGACTGTATGACTTTCAGTAGTGGGCACATTCCATGTACTGATGGTCTTTTATGTGAGCCTCCACTGGATTGATTCTTCTCTTCCTTTGCCTGGTGTAAGTCGGTGTCACTTTCTCGCCGATGAGGAATTTAAATTGAGATATTTAATTGGCAGTTTGTGCATTTTTTTTGGCTCTTCTGCGGCGAGTTTTGACGGATTCATCCATCAAAAGTACTCCTTTGGTTGTCATCTAGGGGCGACCTTGACGGAAGCTTCAGAAATAGTTGTCATAGGCGGCAAAAAGGGTGAAAGATGGTTGGAAATGTCGACAGTAGGCAAGGATTCTGTGCTGAAGTACAATCGATGCTTCTTCTGAGGGCCTTCATGGTATTCAACACTGCAAGATGCTCAGAGACTGAGTTCACAGTTGGAAGAGGTTTACCGATTGAAATATAGTACATTCATAGTCCTTCCGTGGAGGAATCCATTATCTTTGCATCACTTCTATGATCCACATATTGTTTTGGAATGGCTGAGCATCTACGCACTGCTTCAACTGGGTTCAGTACTGTCATTTCATTTGCTTGATTAAATTTTGCATCTTCTTAATATTTTAAGTTAAATTTTGTGCTCTGAAAAGGGCTTGAAAGGCGTCTTGATATCTTCTGTGCCCTTCAAGTAGCGTAGAGCCTTCAGCGCGATGCCTTCCTATCCACAATGGCTTTACATCACCTTCCCTTACTTTTCAAGTTCCACCCAGTCAGAAGAAGATACGGCCCATTCACAAACCCCCATCAGCAGGGCGAAGGTGCAGGCATCGAAGCGGTCCTCTTCTGTCAAGAATTTAGATCCTCCTGTGGAAGAGGCATCACGAAAGGGCGACGCCTGTGATGTGGATGAAATCAGGTATGGGAAAGGAAACAGATTTCTTAACTTCTTTTCACCTCCCATAGATGGTGTTCCATCTGCTTTTTTTTCCTCAGTACCCATCTACACTTTTTCGTAGCCAGGGATGAATCTTTAGACGCTTTATTGTCCCCTCGGGTAGGATGTCAGCTTTCAAATATCCGCATCTGATGAAGAAACCATAATACCAACTTTAGGTAGTAATTTCGAATATCCGAAGGTCATATTTAGGAAAGGCGATATAGTCTCAGGTTCGGGGGACCCCAACAAAAATTTAGACATTCCGGGCGTCCTTAACTGTCTTGCACACACCATCGAAGAAACCTAAAATCACTTTTTTAGGCATCTGAGAGATTTGAAAGCAAAACCCACCTCCTCCATAGCTGGCGTGTTTTCAGCAGTCGGCACATTACAAACTTAGAAATATTTTTGACTCTAAGTTCACCTCTTTGACCTTTGCTCGCAGACAACTTTTTCATCCATTAATTACGGCGACCAGGCACAGATCGGTCGGTTGATTGCGAGGTGCCAAATTTTGAATATTTGATTGAGAAGATGTACAGCAAATGCCTTGACTTGTTCATATTTCCTGGCGCTAGGTCGTGCTGAGGAAGGCTTCATTTCTGCGGCTGTGAGAGATTCAGTGAGCATTTAGATGTAATTGATCTGTCCCAGCAAAGTTGTGATGGGATGTCGAAATGAGTTAAAGGAGGTCGTATTTCTGACTCAAAATGCCTTCACACAACCCTCGTTTGCATTCCCCTGTCCCAAGTGCTACCGAGACAGAGGAGACGCCCCAGTCCCAGTCGCGTATCAGTAAGGCGAGGAAACGAGTTTGGAAGAGGCCTTCGTCGGCGCAGCGCCCCGTTTCTCCAGTGGAGGAAGTCCTGCAAAAGGGCGATGCCTACGATCTCAATGCGATCAGGTAGGAGCTATACAAGAAGGCATTCCATCTTCCCACTTTCCAAAACTACGCATTTTATGCACCTGCTATTTACTGGATGTTTAGGTCCTTTGTCTAGGTCAAATTAAAATTGTCTGTTTAAGATCATCCCATTTAAGCTTGGCGAATGTGTCTGAAGCTGTATGGACCATTTAAGTGCCTCATCCGATAAAAGGTCACAGCATCAAATTTCATGGCTTGACCTTATTTGTAAACTACAGTAAATTGTACTTCATAGGGTGTTTTTGGGGTCGGGCAGGGTTTAGTGAGCACCTAGGCGATCCCTGTGACTTTGAATGACCCACTAAATGTTGTTTCTGGGCGTCCAAGAGCCTTTGAGACAAATTTTACTGGATCACCTTTGTTATTGGGGTACGAAGAGTCACTAAAAAGCTGTCCACAGTGTCACTGTACCACCCAATTACAGTCGTCTGAGGGTGTTCCCGAACCATCGTGGGTACGACAGAAACAAGTCATTATTCCCTTGGACAAAGTTTTAATGTTGATTGGCTAGTCTCATCGTGGCCTCTTATGGGGCAGTTGAAGCGTCCAGGTAACATTTGTCGGCTGAAACAGCAAGTTTCGGGGCGTTTGTTGGTAAGGAAATGCAGAGACACTCCTTTTTCTTGATTTTCAGTGACACAGAAGACGCAGACCAACAACCAGAGGCGAAGCGTGCAAATCTGAGCACATTTGAGAAATTCGTTGATGAAAATGGGCTAGAGTTGCCCCGAAAAGGGAAGCGGGAGGTACCGGAGGCGGGTGAAAGTGATCTCGTGGCGGATATTGTCGCTGTCCTTGGCTCGGCGGCTAAACGACCGTTGCGTGGATGCAGGAGAAGCGCAAGACTGGCCAAACGGGCTGAAATGCGAGTTGAGACTGTACTTCTTGATGGTGAGCTTATCATCTTCCCGCATTTTGACTTTTCATTGTCACTTTTTAAGATTTGGACGGAGTAGAAGAAATGAGCGATACTTTAGGTTAGTCTTAGGCCCTTAGATCTTGAGGGTGTCCACAAGTATTGCTGTCGATTTCATGGTTGGATCGAATCCAAGACGTGCAATGAGAATTGCTCTGATACTGTAGCTACATTCCCTCGTGTCAAATTCAGTATCGATATTCCCTCGAATACTTTACTTTTTTCATCCATAGATGAAGACGATGTTGGTAGCGATGACAATAAAGCAAGTGACGAGGACCCTGACAAGGAGGTACTGGCCGGAAGCATGGACGTTATGCGACATCAAGCGGTGGTAACGCTTTCGCCCCTCTTGAACACGCCCACTACGCCGCTTGTTCCCTCCCAGGAGGACCTACTTCTAGGTGAGATGCATTTTGGCGCAAGCCGAGAATTGTGGTTAGAAAGCTTGTTTGTGTGCGTGTGTATGTCTGCGTCAGTAAAAAAAATTCATCTCTATCGGACTGTGTACTTCCATAGAACCATCGTCCACAAGCAGATCGAAGAGTTCAAGGGACGACCGCACTGGTGTGGCATGTGCTGAGTTCTCTTGCGTCCTTGTCGCGACTGCCGAATTTGGACTACTTGAAAACAAAGAAATTGTCTTTCGCCTTTTAATAAGTTTATCCCACAAAATGACCCCTTTACTAAAACTGGGAGTTGAACAAATAAGGTATTGCAGAGCCTCTCTCTCTCTCTCCATTTTGAGCGTCTTTCCTGGTGCTACCCTTGGTGAACCTCTTGCGTCAGCCATTGCAACGTAGTCGACACTGCAAAGGAATAACACCCACGAGCCAATTTGTGCCAGTGATTGACTTTCCGTGCGGCTGGGAATGCATCTTAATGCGTCGTCACTGATCCCTCTTGGTAGTTCTACTGCATCTAGCGTTTTGTTCTGCTCGGGAACCGCATTGGGGTACGGGAGAACGTGCTGGCCATCACGCGTGCCCATCGCCGGTCGTAGGAGCACCGGCCCAAAGGCAGCGTTAATAAATGAGGGGTGGGGTTCAAAAATAGTTTCTTGGGGATGAGGTTACCTATCTATTCCTCCTTCCAACTTTATTCTCACTTCAGTGCCGTCAGCTAGTAGAGAGGTGAAGGAGGTATCGCGTGTTGGCTTCGGTTGCACTTTTATACGGATACCGTAGGCATCTTCGCAACGACCTTTTCCAGACAGCTCACATCCAGTGTTGCTTCACTTGTTAATACCTTTCCTGCAGAATGCAGGCCTGGAGCGGTTGCCGACTGTAGACGCCTTTTTTAGCCCTTCTGTTAGGGGTCGCCACTGATTCTTCCATCCCCAGTAATATGCACTACTTCCGTTGCGCTAAGACTTACCATCCGGCAGTAGAAACTAGGACTGGTGTCCATTAGAATCGTATTTGCGTTCCGCTGCCACCAAATGCAGCACGTTAAGTCTCCACTGAAGTAGAAAGAAGATATTATTCGGGCAGAATATGTACTGTCGATCTGTGGAGGGGCTCGTGAGCTACTGGAATGGTCCGGAGGCCACCCTTCTCAGCAAAGGTATAATGGATGAGCACCTAGGTGGCCTCCTTCCCGAAACTGAGAGCTGACACTTGCGGTTTTTTTCCGTCTTTTAGATGAAAATTCCACTGGAGAAAACCAATTATCCACATCCCAACAATCGAATACTGATGGTAGGTCATTCCCATCTGCCAGCATTTCACTGATTGAAATGTCGGTAACATAACACCTTTTCCCCCTTTAGGAGTAGAAAAACTCGTTCTTAATCAGTGCTCCTCAGTACAGGACTCAAGAACACCCTTGGAGAGTGCGCGATCCCTCCACCCCGGACCTGAGAATATCGATTCCACGTGCCTTCTCAAAGTTGTTTCACCACCTCGCACCCCACCAAGAGCATTGATGGAGGTTCATCCAGACAAGACACCTGGCGAAAGTGTCTGTCAACTCAGTGTTGGTTAGTCGATTGGGCGATTGAGGTCTGTCTCTTCCATTCCCCCTCCGCTCACCATTTGTGTATCAACCTAGAGTCCCTTTCGGAGTCGCCTGAGCACGCACGAAGAACTGCCGTGGCTTCTGATGATGAAACTCGTCCTCTTCTTCTTCCAGAAGCCGCACTCAAGGTGCTCTCTCCTGGGATTGAAGAAGACTCTGTGTCAAAGAGTGAAGGTTGGTTAATTCTATCACCCTTCGTTTTAACTGGCCTTGAGGTGAAGTAGTGCCTCAGTGAGTAATCGTTAATTAAAAATTATCTAATCATCTACTTCCTCATTGAAATGCGTTTAAAGGGGTAAAATGTTAAAGATCTTGAGCCTTTCGACGCCTAAGTTGTGTATTGAAGGTGGTTCTCCTTCAATCAATAGCTCGTTCTACGTGATTAGTGACATTTCTTTCCTCATTGTCTGACATTTGACTTACATTAGTGCAATGGCCAAAAAATAGCGTTGACTATTATTCAAGCGCCAAGGATGTGGATCTTTTCAACTTTTGCTCCTCCAAATCTTGAACATGGCAGTAATAATCGGAGTTTGTTATATTTCATAGGTTCTTGCTGATTTTTGAAGTCTATTATCAGCGTCACATATGCGTGACGCGTGTTCTTTAGTCTTATGATGACGAGTTGTACCTGCTTAAACTTAAAAACAATACATTTGAGCCATGATACTATTGGTAGTGCACGTTCCAGTTTTTGTTTACGTCCCTATTCTCCTACCACAGCCATTCCAATTAAGTGGTCAAAAGCCACAAAAATTTCGTTTATGTCTCCTTAGTCATCAAATGCCTGTCTATGTGAGGATGAACAATTACCAGTTTTTCAATTGCAGGTAGGAAATACCTGTACCCTTCATGTTCCCTGCTGTAGCACTTAACAGGCGGTTTGGCACGTCAAGCACTCCTTTGTTAAGGACCGCTTTTATTTATTTTTCTTGAGAGGACAAAGTCCAACCGATATGGCATTTTAATCGAGCAACAGACATTCTCTTGGTAAAATTTCGCTTCTCGAGGAGCTAGAGTGGGGGCTTTAAGCGTCAAAGGTCCTGCTTAGGCTTTGCTTTGCTCCTTTGTTTATTGAACTTGTCAGTACTGCTTCACCCTTGACTAGATGTCTAGCCCTTTGGCTTATTTGTGAAAATTTTGAGGTCTTCACCTTTTGATGTGGTTCAAGGGATTCTGGAGTCTTCAATGGCGGCAATTCTTAGGCCCTTGTGGGTCCCCCATAAAATGATGTTTGATTGACATGACAGATACTTGAGTTGCATGCCCAGCATTTCGACAATACGATGGCCCAGATCTTGTTAAACCGTCTAAAAGAATTCATAAATTCTTGGGTAACAATTGTGTCAAAGCATTATTTCTTCATTGACATCATGTTTTGTGCCATTTATTTTGCACAAAATTCGTAAAAAAATATTGGCTAGCTTAGCAAGCAAAGGAAGTTTACTTATATTTGGAAGTAGCATTCCCAAAAATATCTAAACCACAAAAGTAGAACGGGAATTTGCATTATAGCCATTTGCCTCAGCGTGGTCACTGGTAGACAATTTTACAATTCTAGTCAATATTCAAGCCCCCCTTTTTTGTCCGATTAGAAGATGTAGATTCGGTGAAACGTAAAGCGAATCGACCACGTGCCATCCCTTCCGTCGATCTGGATGCTAGTAAATCGTCACCACAACAACCGACACCTCTGCCAAAATCAGCAAAACGGGTCAGTTGCTTGTTTTCTACTCTTCTATGCTCACTTCCAATGCGTGATCTTCCTATACCGCATTCTCCTTTCCATCTAGGTTGCAATCGAAGCTGACATCTTCCTCAGTCCCATTCAACAGCCTCCACCATCATCGTCAACTCGTCGCAGTCGTCGTCAAAGTCGCGCTTCCACTGCAGCAAATACCACCGCCGCCACCATCACCACCGATGCAAATTCCACTCTGGAGGACTCACAAACGGTTAACCGGTCTGCGCCTTCTCCCATGTTTATGTCACCTTTCCAACGTCTCGAAGCAGCAGTTCATGCCTTGGAATCCCAGGAAAAGGGCGCCTCTCAGCTTCTCGCTACTTCCACGGACTTGAAGACGTCGAAGCGCCTCTGGGACACTACCGCTACCTACCTCGTTGACGAGTCACCCTGTCCAAATGCAGCGGGAGTTTTGACTCCGGATGGCAAACCCCCTCCGCCAGGCAAGTTTCCAGCTTCAGTAAACTTGTCAATCTCTGTAAAGGCGGTCTCATCGTTCCAGCCTTTGGGAACAAGTATTTCAACATCACGGCAAGGACGAAGGGTGGCAGAAAATCGACTGGAAAGGAAGCACTGTCAAAGAGGGAGAGTTTGAAGAGCTGCGCCTCTCCTTCTCGTGGTCGGCGCTTCTTTGCGTCCACCTTTGCAGAGCGCAATAAACGTGAAGTAGAAAAGAGATTCTTTGAGGTGATTCGAAAGAAAACAGCGAATGTGCCAAGCAAGAAGAAGAAGAAGGCGGATGATGAGAGACAGCGGTGCAAGCCGACGTCGAAGAAAAAGGAAATGGAAGATGGAAACCTGCCCGATCTTCAGTTATGTCAGTCGGTTTTAATTTGCGCAAAAAATTGCGTCATGACAGGTGTTGGATTGGGGTACTCACTGATTCTCCATTTTGTGTAGCCTACTTGGAGGATTCGGATGTAGAGAAGGAGGAGGAGGAGGAGGAAGAGGAAGAGGAGGAATTTCGACCCCCTAGGGACGTTGCAGGGGGCGGTGATGACGACGATTCGGGATGTCGTCTGCAATCACGTCCTGCAATTCGACGGGCTGCTGCAATCGCCAGAAGCCGCATTCTAGAGTCGAGCATGTGAGTCTTCTTCGAAGTTCCGTCCTAAACTAATTTACCTACCCAGACGTTACCTCTGATGTGCGACGTGGAAGAAGAGAAAATTATTTCCATTTCTGTTCAGCTTCAAAACAAGTTTCTTCAATGATTGGATTTTGAAATTCATGCCCTGCTTTTGATAGTCCCTCACTCATTGTCCAGCATTGTCATTGTTATTAACCAGCCTACATTCGTCAAATTTACCATTGTTTAGAATTGGATCCGATTTCAGTGAAGCTGACTTTAAGAAATCCATCCTCATGCCACAGACTACTGCACTAGGGAGTCTCTGTTGCCCAAGTTCTTAAAAGTTCACGAGGAGGATCCCTTTATCTAGACTGTACCGATGTTTCTTCCATTCCTCTTCTCCTTCACATGACTCAACCTTTTGGGAGGGTACATGCTTGGAGTCGATGAAGTGTCTCCTTCCTTTGAATTCATCGGTTCTTAAATCTGTTCCTTCTTCCATGCATTGGTGCTCTGTCAGTATCGCCCCTGCGACACACGTTTAATGATCCACTGTCTCCGTGAATCGTCTAGGAATCTTCTGTTGGAACTTCTTTCTTCGACGTGTTTTTACTTCTCCACTTTGCTCTGCCTTCACGTCGATATATTTTCGGAGTAGATCTTAAACTGCGTTTTGGGTCCTGTTTAGTTCGTGCAATAGTTTGATTCTCTGAAAAAGAAAACCTTGTCCCGATTGCAATCGAAGTCATCGAGGCATTCAAGCTGTTGTTTCGTTTTACCCCTCACTAAACCTTGAAGCTGCTCCGTTACGCCTAGTCTGCCTTTAGTAAATGAAATCCAGCCAACTTCTTTTCGATGGTTCAACACTGAAGAGCAAATGTTGATGTTGCTAAGCTATCACGCGCGGACAGAGGCCTTTGTCTCTCCATTCACAACTATGATCCCGTCCAAAGTCCTATTCATGGAAGAAGATCTGCATCGCTCCCGAAGTATCAGCAACGCACTGTCCTGGGAGTCGTTTTGTGCTTTCAATTCACTAATCAGCCGTGCCTCTTGCCAATCAAAACACCTTTTTGGTGGATTTTCTTAACTTTAACCGAAGTTCCATCTCCGCTGTAAGCTAAAGTTGGGGATGCTTTCAGCGCGAGGTCAGTTCTACAATCCACCTTTCAATGAAACCGGTCATTTTACCCCCTTCTGTTGCCGTAGTTGTTTTCATTCTCCCGTTTTCTGGACTGTGTGCCGCAAGAACTGCTGGCGGCATCACTCCACTTAGGTAAATCATTCAAACTCCCCTCAATTGTCCTTTCGTTGATGCTCCAAGTTGGCGTGTGTGCTCCACTGCATAGCTTCGGTTCCCTCCTGTGACCTGACCATGCTTCTCCAGAGACTTGTTCTAACTACATGGTGACAACTGAAAATTGCGGGCCTTCGTATGCATTCCATGCGTGATGACCTACCTTCAAGAGGTCATGTGTGCCCCCTCGGAGGTTCCTGGGATGCTAGATTTTCAATTCAGTGAAAATGGTTGCGCGAGGTCTTTTGCAGCTTGCGAATTAATGAAGAATCAGAATTTTGTTCATTAAGAATCTCAAGTAGGCAATTTGACAATGACTTTGCCTTTTGTTCCTTTTGTCCATAAATTTTAAGATGCAATGGTTTAAAGGCTATCGCATTCTAGCAGCGACTAATTCAAGCCCCTTCCCACCCCTGACCATTATAGAGTAGCCTTCTTTAAAATTCTTCCTCATTTTGTATCTTACAAGCATGGGAAAAATGACACGGAACTTATTGTAGCGTCTAGGCGTTGATTTTTGACGAGTGATTGACTGGACGAACGTTGAAACCTTTGAATCAAATAGGTCGCCTCATCAAATCGTTTCTGAGGCATGTCCGGCCCGGAAGCACGCACACTTCAGAAGCACTTCCAAGTTCACGTGCCCGTAGAATGTTCTTGCATTCTCTTCCTCAGCCCTCGCCAGAGGATCAGAGTGGGCTAGAAATTTATTTAATCTCTTCTGCCGCTTCAAGACGATGATGCATCTCTGGATACATTCCGTGGAAATGCAAGTAGTCCTTTTGAAATCCGCTCTCCCTCTACGGTGGTCAGTGAATGCAAAAAATCCTTATTTTTTTGCAGCGACGAGCTAAACCTCAACGATCCCCCAATCACCGCCTCGGCGGTTCTACCCCCTCCAATTCCTGCTGCTAGAAAAACTGCGAAAATAGCAAAAATGGAGGTAGCGGAGACGGTGGAGATGCACGCAACCGGGAGTAGTCTGAACACCAGTCATCGCTCCGCTCTGGGCCTCTTCGCACCCACGCCGAACACCAGCGGCGTCTTTGATTTCACCCTCTCCGAGGATGACGAGCTTGTAAGGGGTCTGCCGCGCCTCGGTGGAAGGAACACGAATATGGTAAAGAAGACAAAAGGAGTGTTGCTTGCGACGACACCTGAGGATTCCTCAGTGAGTCAATCTGTGGATTTAATATCATTTCTTCTTGACTCTGGATTTGTGGTGCTATGGTAGAATTTAGCGGTTGTCACCTTGCCTACTGAGGTAGTATCAATAAATTAATTAAGTGGGAGTTCACTTGTCTGCCTCACCCCCCTCCCCCCACCTCATCCTTGAGCGTTCTCTCCTTCGCATTCGTCATTTGCATCTCCGACTTCGTCATTTAACATTCCTAAAGTAAGGTAATAAAAAATTACGGCAAACCTACCTCACTCCTCTCTGTCTTGTTCAATTCACCTGAAGGACGTTGAAGTTCGGGTGTGCGTGCGTGTGTGTGTGTGTGAGGGGGTGGGATTTGCAGAGAGCATTAACCTCTCCCTCTCTCCGTGATCGAAAAGTACTGCAAAGTGGTGTTGTTTATCTTGACCGAGGGTAATTTATCGCATGTGGTTTTGTTTTTTGTGCGTGCCTTGTGAACATATTTTTTCTAAGTCAACTCGCTGCCTCGATAATTTTGGCTTTTCCGAAGTGCGAAGCAGGTCCACTTTTTCCGTTTCCTCATTTTACCGTTTGTGGGGTAGATGGGCCTGCAACGCAGTCTCACCCCTAACCCGCCTTTGTTGTCTCATCTACGGTTGGTCGGAGGTAAGCGCCCTTCCCTCCACATTTTCTTGGGTACTCTCATCACCAACTTAAAAGTTGGTGTGCATCACACCTTGCGCTGCCTCTTCAGCTAGGGCTTGTCAGGAAGCCGGACAATTCAACGTACTACTTGGGTCCAATTCAGTAATATCTCATTGGTTCAGATGGCTGTGTGTGTGCATCGTGCGCCTGATTCAAAGGATCAGCTGGCCAAACACATTCAACAATGCAATGCGTTCAGTCACTTCTCTTGCCACCTTTTCTGGAACGGCTGGGTCTGTTGCCACCCTGTTTTCCTGAGTCTATTCTTCGGTGGTTTAGTGAATTGGATGTTCGGTCTGCCGTTCGCTCAACCTCTACAGGTGGACCGCTTTTGTGGTACCTTGTACGCCTAATTACTACTCCGCTCTCATATTTCAAGTCGACTTGTGCAATCGTGCCATGAAAAGCCCTGCAGACCTCGAAATTGGCTTTAATCAACATGACATTCTTGTGGCTGCTTGATCTTCCTGCTGGACGAGGGATGACGGTTTCGCAAACATTCCAGCAGTCAACTGAGAACTTTTAATGGTTCCCAAAGTGCACTTAAAAAGGTTTATTAGCTCTCCCCCATTAGGCGAAGAATTCCTGACTGATATCGAGGCTCGCGTTCCGCGGCCACAGCGGAGTGTCGCGAGGTCGTGTAGCCCTCAAACAACGCGATTTCGTCTCCACCGGCTGGGGTGTGGGGTAGATGTTTGTAAATTTCCCCCCTTCAATGCTGACTTAGCGCATGCAGTACCCATCTAACTCATGCAGGGCGACTTCCGCCTAGCCGTTTCAAATTGTCCGTGCTCGATGTTTCTCAATCACTTCTTGAATAGTCTCCTTACTTGTTCCTTCCCCCTTTTTTTCCTCAATTTTAGCGACCAATCATCTCAGCCGGGTGAGTGACAGCGGATTCCTGCTCTCGGATTTCGTTTACATACCGCCTTGCTGCACTTACCGCTTCTTTTCCCTTCGTCAGCTTTCTCACCAATATGAACCGATGCGTCGGCGTCGTCTTCTCTACGCTCAACATCGTGGTAAGTGGAGTTCACGGCTCTCCTCTCTCCTGCCTGTTACTTATTTCTCAGTAGTAAGTCGCCTTCACACCTCATCTAGCGATTACGTCCTTTCCCTTTTTTTTCTCACAGGAATCCGAATTCTCCAACCGGTGAGTTCATTTGTCCCCTTCAACCAGCCCGTCACTCGACCTCTACCCTCTGTAGACTGAACCAGCTGCGGGATCAGGTAGGGGAGATGCAACGCCTGCTGCGACGGTGGCAGCAACGCCGTCCAGAGGACGCGGCGGAGGAGACCCGTGTGCCAGTGTAGCCAATCACCGTTTCTTGTACAGTTGTTTCTCGGTTAAATTTTTGAACTCACTTTTCAATCTTTTTTGCTTATTTTTTTTGTTTGTTTCAATTTTTCGTCTGCTGTTGTTGCTTTTTTTTGATGGAATTTTAAAATTGCGGGATTTGTTTAAATTTGTGAATAAAAGTATTGCCTTTTGAACATTCCCCCCTCTCTCTTTCCTCCTTCCTGGTTTGAGGGGTCTTCAGGTGTGTTCACTTTTGGCAGCATTTGTTGGTTCGTGGTGAGGTGGCGTCCTCGCTTCGGTGGTCGCCGTCATGACAGCTGGGCAGGACGAAGGTGACGCTCGCTTGTAGATTCAGGTGGGGCTGGTCCGTCATGTTCTGCGTTGGCTGGGGCTCGGGTTGTGGTACCCTGCAGCAAGTTCGCTCTGAACCCATTTAGAGGGGATTTCAGGAGGCTATCTTCCTCACTGCTTTGATGCCGTGGACCCCAACTAGTCCGCGCTTTCTATCCTCCAGACTACTTGGTGGTGGTCTCATCCGCGAATTTACCGAATTTTCCTCGAGCGCGCCAACGGTGCGAGTTGGTGGTGCAGCTTAGAGTAAAGCTTTGAAACAGCTTCTTCGATCCTTCCACAACATTCGTCGGATTTGTGTCGAAGTCATCAAATGCCACGCCTGTGGGTCCACTTAGCCTTGAACAGGATTTATTTGTGTTGGCATCAACTGGACGTCCCATACTAGATAAGAATCGGTTGAAAGGGCTGCTTGAGCTTCTTTTAAATCCGCCGGGCTCTGGCACTGATTGTCAGTCCATGGATGATGCAGACGAGCTAGTAAGTAAAACTTCATTGCCTAGCTCTCAACGATCTAACTGAATAGACTGGAAGAAGCCAAGTGGATGGGCCGTATTATACTCACAATTGCGCCTCACTAGCTTTCAAAAATATCGATTTGTTCGGCTTTGCGTCTTCCCCTTTCTCCCTTTGTCTTAACCAGTTACGCAGAGTCTCCTTCCTTCCTCCCAGACAAAGAACACTAAGTGTGTGATAACGCCTACACCTGGCTCGTGTATGCGTCAGCCAGGGAGGAGGGGGGTGGTGGTGGAGGGGTCCGACGCACATCAAGCCGCCTAGTTTGTGGGCGCATGCGTCAACGCCTTAGGCACACTTCTCGACCAATCGCCACACGGCCTACCGCCGGTGCCAGTTGCCGCAAGCCAGACGCTAGTGGAATGCGCTGGAGAAGGAATTGGTTGACGCCCCTTCGTTCGTTGCTTTTAAAACCTTCCCACCCTTCCATTCCGCTTGTCCACGCAAGCTTCCCCTAGGGCATGAGCATATCGGCACTTTTGCAGTAGTAGTCGCCGATTTTGAGTGAAGATGAGGCGCTTGACACGGTGACATTTAAGTGACACTACTGTTAATTTAACTAGTCCATCTAATATGCCATAAAGTGCGAAAAATAGCTTTACTGGCGTTAATTAGGGCCTTCTCCCTTGCCGTCTTACCCTCCTCCTCCTC